AACGTTCAGCTGTGATGGCTTTGATGGAGTTGGGCTACATGTGTAAGAGATTCTGCAGTGCAGCAGTATAATGGAGAAGCTGTTGACTAGCTTTCTCATTTTTAAGGTGCTTTAAAACTCTACGGCCAGCATCCAGATTTTTGCCACCTTCCACAAAAGTTTGTTAAAAATGCCTCATATGGTCAGAATGAGATTCACCAGCTCCTTAACTATTAAAGTATTAATGAACGTAGTGGGTCTGGCGGTGATGGGTCAACAGTTGGACTAAATGACCTTTTCCAACCCTAATGATTCCACCATTCTATGTGTGCCCTGACATTCAAATAACTTCACAGATCAACTCTCTCAAAGCACTTCTGGCATTACTTGCTGAAGAAGTAATTTAAAAATCTCATACCAACATTTTTTTCAACCATGAAACATGAGAGGCAGGTGAGCAGTAAGTGAAGTCATTAGCATATCCTGAGCTGCAAGTTTCTGCTCACTAGAAAAGAGATCTTGCTTCACATTCTGGGGGTATTTCTGTTATATTAACAGCGTTCTTAAACTAACGCATTCTGGAAAAGAACTGTCTTCACTTCCTTATTTTTATAAGCCATAGGAAAAAAAGAAGAGCCTCTAAACATTACAACATTGGCAATAAATAACACTAATAACCCTTAATTATCTAATTGAATTCTTCTTACTAAGTGCCGTGAATGCTAAATGACAGCAAAAACATTAATAGAAAATCTCCCGGTGCTGAAGGATGGATTTTACCATTCTGACAGGAGGGGAACTTCTTCACCAAGATTCCTCTCCAGCCCAGATGAGGACTCAGGTCACCTGCTTAATCTTCAGACCTTCAAACCTTGACATGCAAGAGAACTATTATCACAGAATCACAGAATGGCCTGGGTTGGAAGGGACCTCAAGGATGATGAAGCTCCAACTCCCTGCCACACGCAGGGCCACCAACCTCCACATCTCACAGCAGCCCAGGCTGCCCAGGGCCCCATCCAACCTGGCCTTGAACACCTCCAGGGATGGACGGGGCATCCACAGCCTCTCTGGGCAGCTGTTCCAGCACCTCACCACTCTCACAGCAAACAACTTCCCCCTGACATCCAACTGAAATCTGCCCTCCCTCAGCTTCAAACCATTTCCCCTCGTCTTGCTATTATCCACCCTTTTGTGCATTCTCAGTGCAAGGCAATGACATCCTAGTTGCTTTACTCCTCAGATGAGTGAATTTTACTTACACAGTTGCTTGACTCAGCGCTGCCTCTATGCCCATCTGCTTAAACAGAACCAACTCCCAACCTCAGCTCATTTCAAATCTGCATTCCAAGAAAACAGAGTTTCCACTTCATGTCTATCCAAAGACAAATACAACACGTTTAAAAGCAACAAAATTCTGTACCCCCGTACCGGTGCAGAATATTACAGCAATGCCCACTCAGTCTGAAGAACTGCCTGTTTCACGGCGTTCCCTCCTTGGGCCTGACGCCTCCTTATGCAACTGTCTCATGACCAAACCGGAGAAGACAAGATCAAGCAAATGATTTAGTTTCAAACATGTGAAATTGCTGGGATTTTTTACACTCAAGCCAGTTGCACTGCTAAGCCAATAAACACAACTTCAGTGGAAAATCTGATGTATTTGATCAGATGGTGTTCCTGTAATGGTGATTGTACATTGCAGGCAACATCAGCACAGCAATTTTTCTAGCTGGTGGTGACACTCCAATAGAACCAGCTGATAAAAAAAGAGGGCTAAAATTGTCAAGACAAAGAGATTTGTTTCTAAAGTCGTCCATACCCCCTTGCTGCATCACTTGTGTTAACCCTCCCCCTCCTGACAAGTTTTGCTTCACATTTGATCTTTATGAGCACTAAGAGAAATAGGAGATAAGAGATAAAAAAAAAAAAAAAAAAAAAACAACCAAAAAAACTTATCTTTGCAGAAAACAGACTGTATCTGCAATTTATCCCAGAAATCTCTCTGACTATCCTGAAATGTCTTGCTACCATTCCCCCCTCCCATTCGTATTTTCACACTGCTGTCTTGCTGCACTCTTAAGTCTTGATGATCACTTAATGTAGATTGCCACTTCCCCACTGAAGTCAATGAGTTGAGTTGGTTCAGCAGTTAAGGATCTAGTTCCTGACAGCTGGACAGCAAAGAAAGGGCTGAACTGTGTTTTGCAAACAAGGAATCCAAGGAACTTCATTCCTTTTCTCTGTTCATGAACCAACATTGGTTTGGTAAGAGATATTTGTTATTCAAGTACTTGTTGGACAGCCTGGATCAACAACAGCTCATTCCAGAAATGGTTCGTTTCAATTTCTTGCTGCTCAAGGGGTGAGAACTGTCACCTAAATCAGATTCTAATCACCTAAAAGCTGATTCTAATATTTGAAGGGATGAGTAACCCTCTTAAAAATAGGAGAACAAAGCCTAATGAAGAATAACTGCTCTTGTTCACATGTAAATACAAGTACATATGAAGAACAACCATTTCCCAAACTAGCATGCAAACAAAAACCTGTCCAGGAGATCACAGACAGAGCTACCAAGGAGCTCAGCAGGTTCAGTGTGGGAAGTCCAGCTGCAATAAGAATATCTGGGGTTGAAGGGATTGTTATAACTGCTCTGATTCAGCTTCTGTCCCAGGGGCAGTGGGATGCCAATCTCCAGTTCCTGCACTTACCTACCTACATGGTGGCTGAATTACAGGACCCTGCCTGCAAGGCTGTTAAGGAAGCATTCAGGCATCCCTTTGTAAAATGCAACATGAATTGTTCAGTGTTTGTATTTGTTTAAATTTTCCTGCTCAGAACTGTTCCAGTTCATGTTACTTCTGCTGCTGGATTACAAATCCCTGCTGATACCTTTTTTTTTTCCTGATAGGCAGACTGGAATTAAGTTCATTCTCTATCCTTCTTCTTTTGGTGTTTACAGTGATCACCTTGCAATTCTTGACCAGCACCTATTTTTAAACTTGGATAATTGATAAAATTAGCAAATCAATCAGAATAAAGTATATCAAGTAAAGGTTGAACTTCCTGTGAACTTCACAGAGACCATCAGGATGAAAACTATGTCTCTAAACTGCACCATGTGCTATGCAGGACGTTCTTGCCTTTTTTCAAGTATGTGGGCACAGGCAGAAAAACGAGAGATTTTACAATGCTCTGCCACATTTACTGCCTTATTAAAATAGCACTTCAGATCCTGCAGCCTCATTTACTATACCGTATTGCTTTTCTGCTTGCACCACTCTCAGGACAGTCTCCTTGGCTTCAGTATCCGAACGGCGAGCCAAACCAAACCGCTTTCAGAACATTTTATGAAAATGTTAATATTGCTTTGTTACATTACCAGGCAGATGTGAAGTCTTTCCCGTTTGTATTTCGACATCGTGGTGTTGGTGTGTCAGTGCATATGGCCACGTAGAGCCTTATGGTCCTCCTCACCAGACTGCACTGTATTGCAAACAAGAGTCTAGATGCCATCGATGCAGCTCTCACCTCATCAAGAGCCAAATGAAGGAACAAGGAAAAGTTCTAAAAGAAGAAGCCAGAAATGTGCTGGAATTAATCTCACTGAAATAAATATTTTTGTAAAATCAGCTGTACAAGCTAAGCAGTTACTACATCATTCAAGAATGAAGATACACTTCTCCAAGCTGCAGGTCATTGCTGTGGATTTTTCTGAACTATGACACTACATCTTCACCACACTTTCTTTTTGAAAGCAAAGTGTGACATAAAGAACTCATTTTATAGCCTGGGTCAGATATAAAACACAGAGGGTGGTGAGGCACTGGAACAGGTTGCCCAAGGAGGCTGTGGATGCCCCATCCCTGCAGGCATTCAAGGCCAGGCTGGATGTGGCTCTGGGCAGCCTGGGCTGCTGGTTGGTGACCTGCACACAGCAGGGGGTTGGGACTGGATGAGCACTGTGGGCCTTTGCAACCCAGGCCATTCTGTGATTCTGTGATAAAAGCTACTGAACTGTAGATTAATGAATGCCAAAGTGGAAATCTGAGTTCCAGAACTGGCTTATCAGATGCAAAAACTACATTTATGTCCAGAGAACCACAGAATACTCAAAGTGCCCTTTGAATTCCATGGCAGGTATCTCCCTTAAGCTACCAGAAATCCATTTGACTAAGATACCTTCCCACTTGTACATCTGCTCCTGAAGACAACACTTCAGCTGCTATGAATCAGCTTATCTGCGCAGATAGGAAAGGACCACATCTATTTCTAGCACTGGAAAATCTGTCCTGCGCAGATTCAGGATGGCAGCGGTGTGTAACACACAGATCTCATCTGGGAATTCCCCGCTGTGCCCCTCAGCCACCAGGGTTGCCCTCTCTTGGCTTAATTTAGCCAGTTGTGGTCTCCGGAACGTCCTTCTAAATATATTAGTGACTCACCCCCCATTGTAACTTAGCATTGTAGAGAAAATTTCTTGTTTATGTCTAGGGAAGCCAAAAAAATTTTGCTGAGTGCTTCCTTTGGTAACATCTTATACATTTTAATGTCACAGCTGCTGCCAAGCCACGGGCCCTAATGTCTCCATAATGATGTATGGCAAGCTGAGCACATGCCCTCAAACTGTGCAGAGGAGCTGCTGCCTCACCTTCAGCAGACAAACCAGCCCTTTCCCATATGATCCCAGAGCTGGCCACAGGCTGCCATGTGCATCGAGATTCAATGAACACGTTCCAGACAAGGCAGGACCAAGCTCTTCAGTGAAGAAAGTTCAGAAAAACGTAGAAGTTAGTGCGATTGCAATTCTCAAGCATGCTTCTTTCACAGGATCATAGAATGACTTAGGTTGGAAGGGACCTTAAAGATCATTGACATCCAAGCCCCATGTGTGGGCAGGGTGGCTAACCACTGGATTTTTCATACACTTTGTTTTCTTTTTTAACAGAACTGTAAATAATCAACGGATTCAAACCAAAGAGGGAAAAAAAAAGATATTTTCCTGGACATACCATATAACAGCCTCACTGGAGAATTAAACAAACAAAATTTTCCATGTACTGGTGTAGAAGCAAGAGCTCCCCATCCTGCTTGTGGGAGAGGCAGCCATCACTGAGGTCTGTTCCCTGGTCCCTCCTGCCCCACACAGGCTGCTGCATATGTCTGAGATGTGGCTGTGTGCTGGCACAGAAGCAAGAAAAAAGAGCATCATAACCATGAAGAGGAACAGATTTTTTTATTGATCTACACTGATACAGATTTCTAGTGAGCTGATCTTCATGGAATGCCATCACCAGTGCTAATTAGCAGCACAATTTGCTTTATTTCTAAAGTGTGCAACAATTGTGCCAGCCTGCAAAAAGCAGCGGTGTGGCTGTCCTGCACCTCAGTATTGCCACCATGAGCTGTCTTTAAAAATCTCAAAGTGAATCACTCACGTAAGGTTTACAACACAGAGAAAACAGCTTTTCTCCTCAAATTGCCCAGGATAACAAGGCCAGGCTGGATGTGGCTCTGGGCAGCCTGGGCTGCTGGTTGGCAACCTGCACACAGCAATGGAATTGGAATTGGATCAGCACTGGGGGCCTTTGCAACCCAGGCCATTCTAGGATTCTGTAACTCTATGAACACTTAGTACCAGCATCAAGGCTTTCCTGCGCCAGTGCCCTGAGCATCCTAAGAGGCTTTCACAGCCCTTGGAACAATATTGTTCTGATAACCTACCGAGGCAACTGAAACGACAGGAAAATAAGCACGGACACAGTTCTACAGACTTGCACGTGCACCCTTCCCAGTAAGCTCATGTTTCTCAGAATTAATCACAGCATCTTGGAATGGCCTGGGTTGCAAAGGCCCACAGTGCTCATCCAGTCCCAACCCCCTGCTATGTGCAGGTCGCCAACCAGCAGCCCAGGCTGCCCAGAGCCACATCCAGCCTGGCCTTGGATGCCTGCAGGGATGGGGCATCCACAGCCTCCTTGGGCAACCTGTTCCAGTGCCTCACCACCCTCTGGCTGAAAAACTTCCTCCTCATATCCAACCTAAACCTGCCCTGTCTCACTTTAAAACCATTTCCTATCTTTCATTGCGCAGTTTGGGGTCTGACTTTCAAAGAACTTCCTGAAAAAGTGGTTCCTGACATTCCCACCCAGCCATTAATTAGGGACGCAGGTGCCTCCACGAAGCATCTCATTTGAACATTTTTGCTTCCACGCTCTGAGCTATTGACTTCCTCCTTGCTAATCAGCTGCACAGCACAGAGCTAACACCTTAATTACCCAGCAGTTAAAAGTAGTTTCCAAAATGAAAATAAAACTTAGGAAATGTTCTTCTGGCAAGTGCAATGGATGTATGCCTGCTACTGATGCAGACAAGGATTATTTTATCTCTTTGGTAGGCAAGACGTGCTCTGAAAGTTCTGATTTTAACTCCTGTTAAAATCACGTTGGCATTTCAGTGACATTTTGGCGAAATTCTACGGAAACATTTGGTCACATCCTTCCAACCCTTAATTTCTTCCTTAAATGCGCTTTTTAATATGTCACAGTTGTTAAATTTGTAACAATAATTCCCTTGAGACCAAGCAATGGCGCTTGGTATGTGAAAAATGAACAATGCATTTGAATCAGTAAATCAAGAGGAAATTTAAAATAAACGTTTAATTGAGTACAAATAGTCCGAATGTTACTTTAATGAAATTTGACCATTCCGTAGGCTGATTTTAGCAGCAGGCTGTCCTAAATAAGCTCAGCTAAAACATATGCTGCCCTACACTTTTTCAGTCGTGACAAAACTATCCAGATTCACTCCTTCTGATGGCTTTATGGCTTTTAGTCAAACAAGGAAATGCACTTAAATTGATTTCAAAACTTTCACTTCTTGAAAACGACCACCAGAATCCTGGAAACAAACCTTACAGCGTATCGGCACTCTGCCTTTATCGATGGGAGGGAAGAAGACTTGAGATCTGTATACAAAAAGACGTGTATAAATTCCTGCTAAATCTAGTACGGAATTTGAGCACACCAATATTGGGTGAATCAATGCCCTAGGACTCTAGGAACACAAAGCTGGTGTGTTTCCTGGTAGAACTGCCCTCACCTACTCTGGAATCAAAGCTTCTCTTCTTGCTGCCCCAACACTGCATTATACAAATCTTCAGGACTAGTAATTAACAACTTATTTAACCTGTCATGAAAAGTGTGGAGGACATTCCTATGCCCTGTGAAAATGCTGAAAGCACCGTTAACCTGCATGTTTCTCAGCCATATAAAATACAGCCAATACAAACAGCTTTCAGTACATCTGCATCTCCCTCCAGGGCTCAGGGCTGCAGCCCTTCTGATTTTAATGGGATTTCTCCTTTTGTAACACAGTGCTCATCGTGTGCTATGGTGGCAGCAGGACCACTCGGAATAGGAACAGATTCATTTGCTTTTTTCCTTTAAAAAAGCAAAATCAGCCCATTTCAGATTCTGGTTGCTGAGGCAGACATCCCATAGCGCTTTTAGCCTTGAGCATTTACTCAGACCTCCTTTTGGCTTCAGTACGAGTGCAAACAGTACAGTTTAACAGATACATCAGTGCCCTGGGATTCAGCAGTCCAGCCATCAGCTCTGCTGCTAACCATTGCCACCTGCTTTACCTCTCAGCGCTCTTGCTCCTCTCCCACTCTGTGTCTGCCCTGTCTGTTTGAACTGAGCCTCTTAATGCAAATACCATCTTCCTGTAGAAGTTCTCAGTGCCCAGCACTGGAGCCTTGATGTCTTTGGGGACTATCAAACACACAGAAAATAAGAACACAGAGACAGTCCTTCCCTGTTGGCTTTATTAATAAACGTGGGTATTTCAGCCATGATGCATTAGCCTTGTGCTCTCCACTTCTGTTATCTCTTATTAGCTATCTGCTAAAGCTGTTCCCTTCTGAACAGTATAATCCTTCTCCATCTTCTTAACCCATTGCTCTGCACTATTTATCATGACTACATTCAGAGAAACATTAGTACAGTTGCAAATTCAATCATTCCACACTTGGAGAATGCACAGCCTAAGATGGCCCACGCCTTAAGTCCTCAGAGTGCAGGCAATGACGTACACGCCTTTCTTCTATGATCAGCCCATTTTTTTCCTCAACTGGCCTTAGACATTCTCTGTCATGGACAGCAGAAGTGGCAGAGGTGGTGAGGAACTCAAAGTGGTGGGATGTCATGTCTCTGGCTGCAGCTTGGAGAGAAACTGTGGACTAGATGATCTTTCAAGGTCCCTTCCCCTTCAAATGAATCTATGCTCTTTCCACTGCTGTCCTACAGTCAGGCTCCTTCAGCCTCCCTTTCAAACTGACCCGCTTTGAAAATCACCATTTGTGCAGCTATCTTGAGCTCCTGGTTCCACACATGACCCTGGTACTCCTCCTTACAGCACTGTGTCCCATTTATGCATCTCTTCCACACACACTGGTTATCTGTCATACAATCACCGAGGTTGAAGACCACCTCTAAGATCATCCAGTGCAACTGTCCACCTACCATCAATATTTCCCACTAAGCCACATCCCTCAGCACAACATCTGAATGTTTCTTGAGCACCTCCAGGGACGGTGACTCTCCACCTCCCTGTGCTGCCCGTTCCAGTGTCTGACCACTCTTTAGAGAAGAATTATTTCCTGAATCTCCCCGGTGCAATTTGTCCCTGCTTCCTTCTCTGCACTTGGTCTACTACACTTCCCTCCTCTACCACTGAGGACTGTTTCCATCCCATACATTCCCATTACCACTGCTCCCACCCAGCTACCTGCATCCTTTACCAGCCAGCAGGCTCTATCCCAGTCTCCTTGGGCTTATCAGCCCCCATCTGCTTGCAAGTCCTGTTGGGCACCCCCACCATACTGCTTCAGACATAACTTTGGAAGACTCCCTGTTCCCTTCTTTTCTTTCCCTCATCCTTTGCATTCATTCTGGTCCATCATGAATTTAAATCATGGATTCTCTGCATTTTCTGGCGTCTCTGCTCCTGCTCTCAGCCTCCCTCCAGCACCACATGGGCTGCCTGTGCTATGGGAAGACCTGAGGCAGGCAAACCCTACAAGGATTTCAGCTAAATCTTCACTGAGGTCATGCAAATTGAGATTTTCCTGTCCTCTGATTTGCCAAGGTGCAGGCGTATTTTAAAGGGAAGAGCGAAAATAAAACATCCCTGGAAGTAAGAGAAATATAATCCGTGAAGAGATGAGGTAACAAAAGCTTTTTGTACATCATTCTTCTGAATGAAATTCTTGTACTCAGTCACCAGAAGAGTACCTGCTGCTTCTGGGCAGATATTTTTAAGCTCTTGATTCATTAATTGCATTTCACCTGATAAGTTTCTGGGACAGTACCAAAAATAACTGTATTCTCCACTCAGACATGTTTCGAATGGTGCCACGTGATGATGGGAGAAGGGAGAACATGCAATCACGTAACCTTCAAAGCCCAGTTCCCAACAACCTGAACTAAATTATCAAAGCCTTTCTAGCTTAACCCCTCAAAGTTATCAGGACAGTTTCATACAGGAACAAATCCACTTAACATTTGCCCACATCACGCCTGCTAGCTGTGCATATCATGAGCACGGTTTTAAATTATTTCTGTGAGTACGATAAAAGGCAGCGTGTCCTTAACCAAAGCAACATCTGGCATGACTGGATGGATTTCCAATATTGCAGAAACAAAGGGCAGCTAACAGCCTAATCACATTGCACTTCAATTCCTCAGGCAGAAAGCCACCAGCACCTTTCCTCACTCTACCTGTTCCCAAGGCTGTGGGTCACATCTCTAAAAAATAAAGCTTCTAAAGAAATGCAGCTGCAACAGCCCAGCCAGCAGCTATGCAGGTAGCAAATTCCCCCAGGAGCCGGTCAGACAATGCTACTGCTCATGAGGTCTGGGTGGGACAGCAGAAATGGGAATGCACATTTCCCTTCATTCATCAAATTGGAACAAGAATGAGAACTTCAGAAAAAAACAAAAACAAAACCAAAAACCAAGCACTTGGCAGAGTCCATGACTGGGGACAAATCAGGAGAGACTCTGATCATTAAAACTGCAAATGAAGGTTAAAATAAGCTGTTACATAAAGGGGATTCTTCAGTTACAGGAATGTTTGATCCGACTCACAGCGAAGGATGTGCACCCATTTCTAACGGAAAATCCTTTCGCTTTGCTATGAATTTATCTAGCCAGCCAGACAAATTGCTCATATCAAACTGTCATTTGGATGTTCAGCCATTGAAAACACAGTTAAAGCATGTCCCTTAATTAGAAATCCCGTGGAAATGAAAACAATCCTCTCTGGCATCTGGTTACCCTGGATGGTAAGTTGGACTTATCATCTGGCACCGTCCCCTTCCTGTTTGCGTGGGTGGACCGAGGCAGACGTGGAATTCTGCTCCCCTTCCAAGAGCCCTCGGAGACGTGCAGCCTCCCAGGGCAGGGCTTTGTCTCCTGAAAGAGCCTCGCTGCAAATAGGTCTGGTAGACACAGCGAGCTGCTCAGATTAGAGGTGGATGGGATAGGCGGCGTCTGCTCAGCAGGGACCAAGAGGAGCTTAGCAATATTTAAATGGATAAATATATTTTCAATCTGTTCCGTTTCACCAGACAGGAGTCTCTTTGATCAGGATGCATTTGTTTTCCAGAAAACTGCCTTTAGTCATCTGCTGGTAAAAGCAATACAACTCCGCCATGGCCCTCTCCTATGGAATAGTAGGTAGTTCAGCACTCCTTCCAAATCTATCCTTTCTATTGCTGGCCTTGTATTATTGAACGCTTTCTTCCTACCCCATGTCCCAGCAGCTTGCTATTATGTAAGAATTCCAGTCTCATTAAAAATTAAAACAGGTCTTAAAACCTCACAGTTGCGGAGAAAACCCTAAAAGATTGATTCCAAAGGCTAAAAAGCAAAAGGTGCATTTTTAGCAGTGTGAACAGTTAACCATTGGAATGATTTGCTTTGGGATATGATAAGTTCTATATCACAGAATTATCTAAGTCATCATTTTCTCTTGTATATCATATACCATATCATTTCCTCATGTAGACAAGTCAAAACACAGGCTGTGAGCCCCATCAGGAGCAATTCCACTCCACAGTGAAATTCTCTTCCTTTTCCTTTTTCAGTATTTTGCTGATCAGCTTAGTGAATCACACCCATTCCTTGGGACTTTACATGCTAACCAATGGGAACAGAGCCCAAAGTGCTCTGGCTTTGTTCTTGGGGTGACAAATTCATGAGCTTTGAACGATGTACGTTGGCAATGGTGATACAACTGCATTTCATTTCTTTGTAAACTTTTGTTTACAACCACTGCTTATGTGAAGTTTGGGATGTTGCTCACATTTTAGGAACTCCCAGATGCCAGACAGCTCAGCCAGGTGGACTTAGGCTGAGCTACACAGCTTTTCACCCTAAGTAAATCTAGCTATTTCTCCCCTATGTCAAGAAGAGTTCTTAAAATGGTTACCAGAGCCAAGCACGTATGCAAGAAATCCTCATCCCTCAGATTTCCCAGGTTTATATAGATTACAGACCAGATTCGTGGAAGCTGCGTAAGAATGTCCCCTTGTGCCACAAAAGAACCTAGGGAGACTGAAGAAATGACATCATCTCATCCCATGTGGCCTCCATATAGGCAGGTTCCAAGGTACGAAGACAGAAATGGAACGAAGGTAATCTGTTCTGTGCCAATCGTTCTCTGGGAAACTTACTTGTCCTATGGGACCAGTGTAACAACTTTGGTGTGGTTCTGCTCCTTTTCCACTACTTCCCCTCAAGACGTTCCCCTGTGCTTGGCTAAGCTTCCCAGGACACAGGATGAAGAGAGGAGATCGACTGCAAGAAGTAATAAGAAATAAAAGTAGGGTATTAAACAGGACATTGCTGTAGAGCAATAGGAAGGGTGGAAAGGAATGGGCTCATGCATATTACAGTCCTATAAAAGAGAAAGAATTCTTAAATGAGTATTAAAGAGGGCTAACTCAGTTACAGCATGAGAAAACTAGTTTAATCACCTATTTGTGCAGCTGTAGTTAATTTTGTGTCCATTTTACGGACATCCCAGCTATCATGCAATGCTCCATACAATCACAGTGGGTGATGCTCCACTTTTATCATGGGTGCTATTAATGACACCACTACTTGGGTAAATCTTCCATCAAGCTAAGTTGGATGTTTCCTTGAGTAGGACCTGGGGTCATAAAACACCTGATGAATATACATGGTGGGAGATGAATCTGCTTCCTGGCTGCATGGAAGAGAAACAAAGGGTGTGTGAGGATGCATAAACTCACACACATACTTTCCACCCAGACAACCTCAATGGGATCAGTTCCAACCATCTTTGCAACAAACCTTTAATGTCTCCGTGGTGAGAGGTGTCTCCTTGGGAAAGTCATAAAACAGTCATAGATTCGTGAGAGTTCTAGTCCTTGCAGGGGAACACAAGCTATTTCCTACAGTTTGTCAGTAGCATATTCTCATCCATATCATCTTAATAATCATCTTAATATATAGCCAAGCCACACCTGAATGATCAGAGAACTGACTACTGGCCACCTCAAAATCTAACAGGTAAACTGATTGAGCAACACCTAAAAGACCAGCAAGAAGCTAAATGGGAAATTTTCCTTAACCAGTTAACAGCTTGTGAAATCACTGTGCATTAAATCAAACAGCTTCAATATGTTGTCTGTTGAACCCTAAACAAGCCTAAAAGCATTGTGAAAGCAGCTTCAATTTCCAGGAACCATGCAAAGTGTGTCACTGCATATCCTGAGAGGAACATCTGAGCAAGCTTAAAAACCAGCAGAAATCATATTTAGCTTGACTCACCCAAAAGGCTACTGCCAACAGCTCACCCCCTTAGGAATAAAACCTCAGATAATCCATACCCCCAAATCACCTGTATTAGGCTCATCAGCACTGAGCGTGCAGGAATAGAAAGAGTATGCAGTCACTGCTTTCTGCTGCCACTGGCCAACAAGATGTTAATTATCACTGAGAAGTAAAGAGCGATCAGGTGCTGGCATTGGCTGAGCATTGTGGAACACCTACAACGTTTGCTGCCTTTAATGCCCGGCAAGAGCAGCAGCACTGCAGTGTATTACAGCACCTGCTGTCCCCAGAGCTCAGTGCATGCGACCAGAGGAAGCCCAGCCCTGTCCCTGGGGTGCTGATGGGAAGCTGCAAGAGGAATCACTGATGTCACTGCTTCTGATGTGGGAATCCACTGTAAACGTGCTGCTTTGCAAATGTGAAGTTTTCCAGAAGAAAGGAAACTCTGCAATTTGGGAAAAAAATGCCAGGTGACTTGCATTGTTTCCTTGTGACCATAGAAAAGACAGTTCCTGGCTTGACTGGAATTGTCCATGTGAGTTGATGCACGTGTTAATCCTAAACCACCGGTTGGCCGAGCCTTCCTGGTCACTTGGAGTAACAGTGGAAACCATTCTGACTCTGATTTTCATTGATGTTCCTTTATGGCTTGCTCTGATGGCTTCACAGAGAGCCAGGATTCTGCTAACCTGCAGACACAGTGCTATAGCTACAACTTCCCCATGGTCTCTTAAGGATAAGAAAAAAAAAAAAACACCTAAGATTTAGAAGCAGGTATCATTGCAATATTTCCATATACTTAGTCCTGGCCCAGTGCTCCTGGTTATCAGTGCCTTGGCTTATATGACTTGTTTGCTTTTTGCATCAATTTATCACATGCATGAGATTTCAGCCCCCCTGTGTTAGAACTGCCCCAACTCTGACAGCTCTGGAGCAGATGCGTTCCATGACACTGCAATGTGCTGCAACCACAGAAGAAATGAAAATACAAAATTTGTTTTACATCAAAATGATATGAAAAAAATGTTTTGTAAATAATGAAATGCACGTCTTCGCAGCTATTTTGATGCAATTCTGAGAGACGTGGACTTTCCATTACTCCAGGCCATGTCAGTGTGTCCCTGTACCTTTGGGAAACATGGAGACATACACCTAAATTTTATCATTGCCATCATACTGAAGCATTAACGTAAGTACAAATCAAGAAAGTAAAGTCAATCATAAAAATCATGGGATATGTCTCCAGTAATCAGTGGAAGAGGCTCCTTAAAGAAAGTGTTTGAACATCCTATGAGACAAAAAAATGTACAGGAGGTTAGCTTGTATATACCCAGTGAGCACGCTATAAGAAAATTCAGCAGATCTTTTTAATCCACTGTGACTTGAATAAAATATATTCACACTCCATACATATGGAAACAGCATCATAACTAAACCCTCCTGCTCCCATTTTAAGCCTTGAAATTCTCACCTATGTATTGGTGTTATTAACAACTGCTTAATTGCATGTAGAATTCCCCATTAAATCTCCCATTGTAAGTCACACTTTTCTAATTACACACACACAAACAAAAGAAAACAACAAGCAGAAGAAAATCTACCAATATATAACATGGCAATATCTATCTACAGACCCCTAGCAAAGGTCCTCCAGCGTCAAGGATTTATTTGCTCAATATGACATAGGTAGAATCATGAGTACCTCTCTTCTTTCCTTCACTCCTCCAGAAACAAGCAGCTGCAGTTTGCAGGATGATGGTGGTGAGGGGTTGATGGCTGGACTTGATGATTTCAGTGGTCTTTTCCAACCTTAGTGATTCTATAATGGTCACAGGACTGTAACAGACATACATTAAATGCTTTGCTGATTCAGGATCTGCAGCACCCTTAGACAAACTCTGACACCTCTACAACAATCTAACAGTGGGAAAGAGGCCATAAAGTTGGATTAATATTAAAAGTTGCAATGGGAAAGCTGAGATGGCAAGACAGAACCCAACAGCAAAAATGAGAAGGTAAGCACTGATACACCTGGACAAGGCACGTGCAGATGCCCAGCCATCTAGAGACAGAAGACACCCCGTCCCATGCCACCACTGTCCTACGCAACCAAGCTGTGTTCATAAAGCTCCTCATTCAGGCACAACCCTGCCCACCTGCACCACCCAACACGATCGGGCTGTGGCTAGCTGGGAAGCTCGCTAGATGTGTGTGGTCAGGCTTGCAAATATAATGCTGCAGTAAGACTATAAAAGACATCTTGAACTCAGTTTTTCCAGGGCTGATGTAACTGGGTGGGGGCACTACCAGGCTTGTGATAAGCTGAATATAATGATGAAATAAATATTGAAATAAAACATTTGCATATAAAATTTAACTCCTGGAATTTACTAGCAGCAGGGAGATAGTGGTGTAACAAGCTGACAAAGAGTCATTATGAGATCATATGCATATTAATCTGAGGCTTGTAGGCATTGTTTCTTGGAGGAAGTACTCATTGTGTGTAGTACAGTAAAAACTGTGTTTTAAAACAAAGAGATGAAATAGTTGCTTTAACACAGCAACAGCACTGTCATTGTAAATCTGCCGTGCCATGTATTTTATTGCACTTTCATAGCAGAAGAGGGAATTTACGATGTGATGCTACAAGTCCAGCCAGCCTTCTTCTGTCAGTGGGGTACCTCTCTTAACTCACATCTAAAATATTTGCTGATACCGAAACGTGACTGTGAGATACAAAAACAACCTTTTACAACACAAGAGAACATTATATTCATCTAGCTCAGAGCAAAAAGAAGAAAAACAAATAGCTTGAGCATCTGTTTCTGCAAAGTATGGACACTGCTCTGCAAATATTTCTATTCTATGGAAAGTGTACAGAGAGAATTACCACTGAGCTTTTGTAGATGAAGTAGTAAAGATGCTATTTCTATTGTTATCAAATGAAAGATACCTCACATTTATCATCACTTTTTGAGATAAGAGCTACTCAACACAGAAACACACTTGGGCTTGACCTCCTGTAGCCAAGTATCAATACTGATGGTGTCAGGACGCTGTATTCATTCTTTACAGATTACACTAAGCAGCAATTAGTCCCACACAATCAAAGACTGATCATTTACTTTCATCTGGGGGACCATTTATAGTAGACTTATAGAATCATCCAGGTTGGAAAAGACCTCCAAGATCCCCAAGTCCAACCCCAGCCCACCCCACCATGCCCACTGCCCACATCCCTCAGTGCCACATCTCCATGGCTCTGGAACACCTCCAGGGATGGTGACCCCACCACTGCTGGGCAGCTGTGCCAATGATCAGCACTCTTTCTGAGTATAAAAGCTTCCTAATATCCAAACTGAACCTCCTCCAGCGCATTTCAAATGTACCTGCCTAAATAGAATTGGCACTTTGGCATGACAGGACCAGATCCATTCTGAACAGAAGCCATCTTCTGATAAACAAGAACTCAACATTAAGAATAATATGATATTTGGGAAAATTTCTTCTCCAAAAGAGTGGTCAGGCATTGGTACGGGCTGTCCAGGGAGGTGACTGAGTCATCATCCCTGGAGGTGTTCAATAAGTAGTTAGATGCTGTACTAAGGGATGCAGCTTAGTAGCGAAACATTGGTGGTAGATAGATGGTTGGACTGGATGAGCTTGGAGGTCTTTCAACCTTGGTGACTCTATCAATTAGAAAAATGTTTGTGTGACACTGAAAATTCAATTTGACCCAATTATTTGATAGATTTCTTTTCACCTTAGCAGATACAAAAAAATCCTCCAGGCACAATGAGGAAAAGAGCAACTTGGTGCATAGCTTATGAATAAGAGAACAGCACCAGAAAGTGGGTTGGTTTAAATCAAGAGGGAAAAAAATACTTCAAAAGCATTCGCAGGGAGGAACATTCCACCAAGACAAAGTCATCTGTCCTTACTTTCCCAAAAGCAGCATGATCAAAGCTGATTATGGGATTTCAAGCCCTGAATGTTTCTTTGTATTGCCCAAGCGGAGAGTGAAAATGCTTTATGATACCAAAAAGACAGAAGGAAGATCCTCAGATATTACAAAGCAGGAACCAGGATTTAATGCTTTTAAAAAGACCAGTGCCTGCAATCCACTCGCACGATGACGTGAGACATGGGCCATAGGAGACATGACTGGCTGAGTAGTTTTAGGTAACGCACCAATAGAATACTAAACAACAACATATGCACTGCATTTGTAATGAGATTGGACTTTTAACCTTCTAAAGCAGCGGGAAACAATAGGGCTTTTAAAAATACCAGCTCAGAGGTAAGGACAGGGTCAGCCCCTTACGATTTATATTTATAAAGTTGCATAGCTGAGTTTCACTTTGAATTAGAAATTATTTGAAAAAGTCAGAGGAAATCAGGGGAGGAGGGAGAAAATGAATGTTGGCATTAGGGAAAGAACTAGGAGATGACAGAAGAGATGGCAGAGGAGGCTTCTCAAAAAGCACCCAGGGAATTATGCTCCCCCTGGGCCCCAGCTCACACACTGCCATTAGTAATGGCTCACCCACTTACTTGAGATGCAACACCAAGATTTGAAGGGTGCCTTGTCCTCTCTGCATACATGGAGTTCAATCGGATGTTAATTCCTTCAGAAGTACCAGGCAACAACCATTCTGTCTAGAGAGATGACCCACATGAAACCAAAGTCAGAACTTCAGCTGCTATAAATGAGATCAGAGTGAATCCAGCTGATTCACACTAATTTAATGAACCTGATGAACTTGCCACCGAAAATATCAAAAAGCAATGAACCGCTTTAATGACAGATAGAAGCCTGAAGCTCATTTCATACACCACACAAACCTTGGGAAAAAGGAGAGCAGAAATCAAGCTCCATACCAGAACATCTGCATTGGGTCTGGGCAGAGGGCCATGCAGAATCACGTCCTCCATCCTAATTCCTCTCCTGCCTTGTGCTGATTAGAGGGGAGCCCCTCTCTCCAGTTCAATCCAGCACAACCCTGAGCTCAGCAGGTCTAAGGGAGAGGCGCAGACTTTGCCCACAATTTCATATACCAAGCTAGAGGCCATCTGACGACGTTTCCCTCCCCAAACAGGTTCCAACAGCAGCAAACCAAATAAAAGAACAACTAAAGGAAAAAAAAAAAAAAGAGGAGTATTCAAGATTGTCAAATTCTGATGCCATTTTTGGTAGAAACATGGGACTAGACAGGATCACAGTGACCTCAGACCTCTGCAACCTCAACCAAACACACAGCACTGTTTCAGGAGGACCCAAAGGACATTTCCTTCACACATTATCAGATATTACAGGCCAGTGGACATCATTACTCAATACCCTACTGAATCAACTATGGTTCTATGGGAAAAGACCAAGTGCTACAACCCCGACCTGCCTCCGGTAGAGCGCAGGACATCAGCAGAGCCTCACCAATGCAGCTGTGGGAATGTGCAAACAGATAATGTTGTCCCAGTCCACAGGGACAACAGAAAGAAACCTCAAGCTTCCTTTCAGGGAAATGGAAGGAGCTAAGAGAAGGCCAGCTTCTCCAGCATCCGTGCAAGAGCTCTGTTATATCACCAGCGGTACAACCTGCACAGCTCTGCAGTTCTGCAGCCCCATGTTGCCCTGTCAGCCACAGACTTGCAGATTTTAGATGCTGGGGATAGGGTTAGGGCAAAGGCCCCTTCTTGAGCCTGAACTTTAAGCACACTTTTCTGTTTTTCCAGCTCTGTGGATGCAGTCTGCCTCCAGCTATCCACCCAGGCATTACCCGTGTCACCGCTGCGGCACTCAGAAGCTGGCACCTCCTGTTCACGAGGCTGAGCAGCACTGCAAGCAGCCAAGCACTCTAGTCCTTCACCAAGCAAAACAACCCAAGGAGGATTTGGCAGGAGAAGGAGCAGCAGAATCTGACCCAAGTCAAATGCAACTCTCCAAGAAATTCCTTTTCACTTGCAAGTGACATACAGACTTGGCCTGCCTTCCTCTGACTTACCAGCACCCTCCTGCAAGGCAGCATTAGAAAGGAGCCTGTCTCACCCAGGGATGTTTTTCAACAATACTTCATGTCCTCTTTTACTGTCTTCTTTTTAAGCCACTTCCAAGCTCCATTCCTTCTGCTCCCTACTCAGATCAGACTAATAAGAACATCACCTCAGGGAAAAGACTTGTACACAGACAGACTTCCTCTTCAGAGGATCAAACAGACCAGACTGTTCCTTTTCAAGTTTTATTAATCCTGGTTCATAATTTCCACCACATCATTAGTCATTTCCTATTATTGAATAGCTGGTAGCAGCAGCATCGCACAGTAAATAGCAAGATAACCATGCCACCTGCAATTTCTTGGCTGATACCTTCCCACAACCACATCTGGGGAAAAGACGAAGAGGTAAAATTAAAAGCCCAGCCATGTTGACTTTTTTGATCTGTGGCTCATTTCTTTTATTCACATCATCTGCTCAGCTGGCTACATAAGCTGCTGCAGACCTTGTTTAAAAACAGCTCCAGAAGATTAACACTAAAACCAGCAATTTGGAAATGTGGTGATTTCACTGGAATGCCCATTCTGAGGCATGCAGGGTCTGAGGGGATCTTGCTGGTTATCAGGCCTTGTTCTTTATTTGGTTTCCTAAGCTTTTCCTGGTTTGTCAACATCCTTTAGGTAATTTTGCCACCAAAAATGGGCAGAGAATTCAAATGCCTTCAAGCAATCTGTTTCCTATTGAGTTTTTCTTGCCCTCTCTCCAGCAAAACTTGTTTTTCTAATAATATCCTTTTTTCCTTCTACCGTCCAGCTCAGGAGACTAATTGGGAAAGAACGCCACAGTCTTTTCAGTTTCAGTACAATATCCCAGGAACTGGACTCGTTGATCCTTATGGGTCCCTTCCAACATGGGATATTCTATGATTCTATGATCTACATACCTGGAGCATTCTTTTGGACTCTCTTCTTTCTTTCCACAGTGCAGGTGTCCCCCACAGAAGTTCTGGGTCAGAGTTTCTACGTGGTTCACTGTTTGGTGAAGCAGGACAGACCCCCAGTCAACAGCTTGGGTCAGAAGTGTGTGGCTGCAATGACCATGGGACAGCAGTCAGAACAGGGAGCGCTGATTTCCACCCCAACAGTGCAACTTCTCCTCTCTCCTTCTTTCCCACTATCTCAGTAAATTTTCCAGCCACCCTTCTTCTGGCCTGCAGTTTCCCCACAAGCTCTGCAGGACAGCCTCACCGTGGCCCCACACCAAGTTCACCGAAGACAAGGAGTCCTCCCATCATCTCAAGGGCAGGCAATGGAGTCCCCAGGACTCCAAAAGGATTTCCTCCTTTTCACCTGTCCTTGTGAATGCAGCCTGGTACACAAGCACAATCACTCGGGCTGAAGTGCGTTCCTAGCAGGAAGGAATGGCTTTGGGTTTATGGCAGAGCAGGTTTCTGCTGCAGACTTCCTGCATGACCTTAGGGAAGAAGTCACTTGCCATCAGACCTTCTCAGTGCTTGTTTCAATTCGTGCCCATTCTTCTGAACACAGATATTGTTTATTAGAGGTCATCTGAGTCCTAGGTGAAAAGAGGTAATTAAACGCCTGATGACTAATGTGTTTAACACACTAATGTGTGTTTGCTTTCACAGGGGCTTTGTGAAAACGTGATCTGCCAACCCTGTGTGCCACCGCTGGCACTCAGTGCTTCAATCTGCCAACAAGAGGTGGCAACACCTGAGTGCATCTGTCCCTGTTTACAGCAGCCCAGTGGGACTGCCAGCTCAGTGCCCCAGAACTTGTGCTGTCCTTACCCATAGGACAAGAGAACTGTCCTTTGCAATCCAAAACGTCTGCATGTTTTTTTATACTCGTTTATGTTTTTATCTCCATTATTTTCCCAAATACACATAAGCGTATGCTCATCTTTCAGACTATCATATTCTTCCTTTTCTCTGACCCAATTCCCTAATGCCACATGAGCTTTTTGTGTTCCTGTCTCCCCTGTGGTGGGGGCAAATAGACTTATTCACCTCTTGAGAAGAAAATGGAGAGGACAGCATCACCGCAGGTCAACAGCATTCCATGGCAGGATATTACAAAGAACTTTGAATTTTACAGCATTTTTCACGGACCCAGTTTGAAGCACACACAGATAGAGCTCAGATAAACATCCAGTAGAACACACTGCCTTTAGGGTTTCCAGCTGAGAGGTGGGTGAATGCCTCTGACCTCACACAGGACCACTACAGCAGCATCAGGAATGCATCTCAGTGCCTGAATCCTGGGGCTGCTCCTTCCCTTCACACTCTGCCATGTCTCGCTCAGTCTCCCATGCCCACCCAGCAGAAGCTGCTTTCCCCAGCCACCCCTCTCAGCTCTCCATTTCCTCTGCTCTTCCAAGGGAGCCTAGAGCTGTGATGATAACTGGGGCTCCTTCAACAAGTTAAGGGGGGTGAAGCAGGCAACAGAGCCAACAGGGAGTCCCCAAATTCCTTAGCTGTTACAGCAGACTTGTCACTGTTACCCAGGCAAGCAACTTAATCCCCTACCCTCCTTCTAGCGAGCGTGAGCTAATCCTGCACAAAAAAATCTTCCTCCCTTCAAGGAGTGCAAAAAGCTCTAATTAGCGTTCCTAAAGTATCTTCAGGCCTCAGACCATAAAAGTGTAAATGGCTCATCTTCCAAATAATAGCAATAAAATCCTGGAATCAGTAACTTGACCGTAACTGCTACATGGGTATAATAAATTGCTTTTGCCATCTCAAAATGAATTGTCATGAATCAGGGCCTTTGTTCTCACAGTCAGCGAGTTATTTTTTGCCCTTCTGATGGAATTCCTGCAATAACAATGGGGGAAGCATGTAATGGAGAGTGACGGGCATCTTTATAAACAACGCTGGTCACAGGAGCCATATATCAGAGAAATAGATTTCTGGTACAGTAACATCTCAACAGCTTAACGAAGATGGGGAAAGCCTGTTGATCTGGTTACTCTGTATAGAGACAAAGTTTTTTATTTTAAGCTCCTATATCTTAAGAACCAAAAGGAAAGAATCATTTCCAGCCATATTTTTCAAATGGGAAACAGAGGGCAGTGAGAAACTGATCAGATCTGAGGAGACTGAGGGAACTGAGCTCAGCTCAGGGCTTTAACTGCAAGCTTCCCCTTTTCTTTCAGTTCCCAAGGAAAACCCTGCCTTTGCCAGGGTCCTGGTCACAAAGCTGCTGTGTAACTCCTCTGTGACATCAAGCACTGCTGAGCTCCTGTGCACAGCAACGGGAGCCCAGGGTTTGAACCCCACTGTGCCCTTCAGCCTCGGGCAGGATCAAACCCTAACATCCCAGGTTTGAAAGCCCTGCATTTCACATTCCTTCACCAATGGGAACAGCACGTCTTAATTCAAGAGAGGGTCAGGCTGTAGCTCTTTATAGCAAACAGGGAGGAGGGAACGGTTTGTCATGGAACCTAATTATTTAGCAGCGTGCTGAAAAGTTGCCTGGCAGGATCTGCCCTTGCAGACAGCACTTTCTCCCCTCATAGTGATCCTGATAGCAGGACTTTTATCAGCAGGGCAGCACTGTGCTCTGCTCAGACCCCAGTGATCAAGTGGCCTTCACAGCTGCCACCGCTTCCTATTAAAAGGCTACAAGGGGCCTGTGAGATTAAGAAAGGATAAAAACAAGTACTTATCATTTGGGAAGTAATGTCACTGGTTATCTAAAGCAACGTAATTATATCACAAGCTTTATCTGCGAGTGGCTTTTTCCTTCCAGGGGGTAGGAATAGAAAAACTTTTCACTTCATAATGAGTCCTATTGAAACTCCATTTTGCCCTTGGCAAAAGGCCATTATCCAGCAGAAACATGTAATCATCCTAAAAATGCATAATGGCATGGAAAACGGACAAGTAGTTTCTTGAAATATTGTTTGTAAAAGGCCTAATTTATAATGGGGATTGTTTGTGTTAGGGCCTTTTGGCATGTATGGTTAACAAGAACTTGCTGTTCTGCTGCCAGTTTGTCTAATCAAGAGGGCCTTGTGTAGGCCTCCCTCGATATGGCCATGGAAACAATGGGAGCTTTTTCCAGGAGCTGCCCCATCATGACAGAGCACCCCACTGCTTCATCTGTTGTTGTTCCTCGCGATGGACACCGCTGCTGTCAATGTGCCACATCAAGACAGAAACATCATCAGATTCAGTGCACTGCTGACTATCTGGAGAAATATTAGGAATGAACTGGCAGCATCATTAATTGAGTTCAATCATGCAACTGTTGGCTCTTTGTAGCGATGCCATGGTGTGACCAACGCCTTCCCTCCGGAAAAGCAGCAGTTTGCACACACGCTATGAATGAAAGCTCTGGCCCTGCAAAGAGTTGGATCACATGCAGGAGAAAGCATTCTCCAAAAGGAAATGAGAAAGTCACAGAATGACAGAATGGCCTGGGTTGGAAGGGACTTAAGGATCACGAAGCTCCAACCCCACCACACACAGGGCCACCAACCTCCACATGTCACAGCAGCCCAGGCTGCCCAGGGCCCCATCCAACCTGGCCTTGAACACCTCCAGGGATGGACGGGGCATCCACAGCCTCTCTGGGCAGCCTGCAGTAAACACTCTTCACCTGCTTTGTTATTAGGTTCAGAGTACACTTTGCTTGCATTTTGTATCCACAAAATGGGAGTGGGAAAGGCCCCGTTATATCTGGTGATACTATTATCATAAATGCTAACAAATATGTAGGCTTACCAGTCATCTTGGTCCATGGCAAACTGAAAGCTCTCTCTGGTTTATAACCTCTGCAGGTACCACAGAATCACATAGAATCACAGAATCACCAAGGTTGGAAAAGACCTATAAGATCATCCAGTCCAACCATCCACCTATCACCAATGGTTCTCGCTAAACCATATCCCTCAACACAACATCCAAACGTTCCTTGAACACCTCCAGGATCAGTGACTCCACCACCTCCCTGGGCAGCCCATCCCAGTGCCTGACCACTCTTTCAGAAAAGTAGTATTTCCTAACGTCCAGCCTAAATCTCCCCTGGCGCAGCTTGAAGCCATTCCCTATAGTTCTATCACCAGTTACACGAGAGAAGAGGCCGACCCCCAGCTCACTACAACCTCCCTTCAGGTAGTTGTGGAGAGCAATAAGGTCTCGCCTGAGCCTCCTCTTCTCCAGACTGAACAATCCCAGCTCCTTCTGCTGCTCCTCATCAGCCCTGTGCTCCAGACCCCTCACCAGCTTTGCCGCCCTTCTTTGAACCCGCTCCAGGGCCTCAATGTCTTCCTTGCAGCGAGGGGCCCAAAACTGGACACAGTACTCAAGGTGCCCAATATACCTTCTGTAATCCCTCCAAGCATCTTCCTTTATGTTGGGAAAGGTTCCACCCAGTGCTCCTAGCAGATCCATTGCTCAGCCTGCTTACCAGCTCACAGGAACTTTCATCCAAAGCAGAGCTAAAGCTACACAATACACGTTCCTGTTGATCCTGGATTTGGGAAGCAGGGTGCCATGCAGAGGGGAGATATGTGCTGGAAAGCAAGCATGAGAGATTGCTTTAGAGCAGAGCACAAGACGATACGGCTCCCACCAGTGAGCCACAGTGCGCAGCACAGAGGGAAAGGAGGAACCATGGGTTTGAAGACTTCTAATGCCAAGATCCAGGCCTGAAAAGTTGTACCTTGTGACACAAAGCAGTCATTTGCTGTAGGTTTGTGCCTCAAGGCCTCCAGCACAGACGATGCCTACTGAGCCTGGCACTGTATGTGCCTTTATTTTAAGACAGTCCTTGCTACCGAGAGCTTAGAATTGACATAGAATGGTATTTTTAACAAAAGTACAATAATTGCCACAAGTAAGATGAAAACAAAGCTATAATTTGGACAGCTTGACAGTATGTGAAGGCCCTCTGTAGAGAAACATAGTTCAAAGCATTTTTGACTTTCAGGCAGTTTTGCTGAATCCATGGGTATCTCCCTAATGCATAGAAAACAAGAGCCCTTCTTTATTTGCTCCAAAGCTGTGTTTGTACAGTAACTTCTGAAGAAGGCGCTTCTTCCTTCCATAACCAAATAAAATGATCCCTTGGGTTATTTATAGTCCTCACGGCCCAAAGACATCGCTTGGCTCTCTACCACAAGCCCAGCCGTGTGTTACTATATTAAAAAATGTGAAAATGTAATTACGGGGTACTGAAGCCAGTGTCTGCAGACAAAACCTGCCAGAAGTGAGGAGACAGGAAACACGGGCCCTTCGGAGCCGCGCGGGGCCTTCCCTGCCTCGGTCCTCACTGGGACTGAGAGGGGAGAGACGGGGCCTGGCTTTGCAGGGCGGCTGACTCACATCTGCCTTTCTGTAGGAACGGGTTTGCTGTAACCTGCAAGTGCAATCCTCACCCCTCCACAACTAAAAAAATCCTTCCCTGCCAATCCAGAGTGTGACACCACCTATGCCTGGTCACACTGAAGCCACCCATTCTTCACATGGAGAAAAGAGCCTGGATTATTTCCCCTTTGCATCACAGCACTATTTCACAATGGAGGGCTGATGTCACCAGGTCACAACATTTATCTTCATGCCCTTGATTGCCCAGCTTTTATGTATCTTCTGCTTCTAGCCTGCGCATCTATTCTCCCCACAGATTTACAGAATCTTTCAGGTTGGAAAAGACCTCCGAGATCCCCAAGCCCAACCCCAGCCCATCCCACTATGTCCACTGCCCACATCCCTCAGTGCCACATCTCCACGGCTCTGGAACACCTCCAGGGATGGTGACCCCACCACTGCTGGGCAGCTGTGCCACTGCAGCACTCGTTCAGAAAATAAATGTTTCCTCATGTTCAACCTGAACCTCTCCTGACACAACTTGAGACCATCACCTCTCATCCTATCACTGTTACCTGGGAGCAGAGACTGACCCTCAACCCCCACCTTGCTACCACTTCTTTCAGGGAGCTGGAGAGAGCGATAAGGTCTCCCCTGACACCTTATTATTGTGCTTGAGCTGGCAGCTACCATCCGTGGCAGGGTGGCAGAATGAAAACCTGCTCTACTTTATCCAGCTGTCCCTATCAGGCTGCAAGCCCTAAGCATCCCCATGCAGGCACATGGCAGAGTGGAGCTAAGCAGAGCCAAAAGCAAGCGCAGCTCCGCTTTCTCCGAGACCCCAGGACAGCAGCACAAGTAGCTAATGAAGAGTGAAGGTATGAAGAAAGAATAAGCACTTTTCCTCAGGGCGCGTGAGCTCTGACAGGAAACTTCAGAGAAACTCTGGGGGAGGGATAAGTCAATGGGATGATGAATCGCCCACTGCCCTACAGAGTCATTTCCAATCCAACTGTCTTTAGGAGGGTTGCCTCTGAGCTGAGCACAAAATCCTCTTCAAAATATACATGGAGTCTCAGTGTAAAGAAGCCAGGCACACAACACAGAGCTAGGATTGGTATTAATAGAATGCAGACAGCAAATTGCTCACCTGCTCCGTCCTTCCGACATCAGCCTGATCTCTTAGCAGTCTATCAGTTTGTCCCTTGCTACTGGCCACTCATTGACAAAAAGCTGAGTATTTGCTGACAGAAGGAAATGCAAGAGGCAGGAGCGGTTGGCCCAGCCCAGCACAGCCAAGTGAGCTGCAGGAGGCTGAGCAGCAAAGACTTGTCCATTTCCAGCTCAAAACGACCAAGTCTTCTGTAATGCCCTGCCAAAGCCAAGAACCCCTCTTCATCGCTTGCCCTGTAAACCTGCCAAGCTCTTTTGCTTTGGCAGCTTGCAATAAAATTGCACATTTCAACATTTTGCACAGCTTGATTCTGCAACTAATACAATGACAATGTTTCTAGTGGAAGATTAAACATCAGGACGTTTCCTGTATCCTCACATTATCCACATCCAGACTCCTGCTTTGCCCATTCACGCTTCTTGCTTTAAGCTCTCAGAATCCATCCACGTAGCCTGGTTTACCCAGAGTCCCGTTACTGCAGCACTTCCCCACGTTCCCCTCTGGCCGGGAGCACTGGGACCTCTCCATCGCAGTATCCGCAGTGCCACCTTCTGGTCTGCCACACGAATCCCAGCCATTCTGCTGCAGAGTGATCGAATCATTCAGGTTGGAGAAGACCTCTGAGATCCCCAAGCCCAATGTCAGCCCACCCCACCATGCCCACTGCCCACGTCCCTCAGTGCCACATCTCCACGGCTCTGGAACACCTCCAGGGATGGTGACTCCACCACTGCTGGGCAGCTGTGCCACTGCAGCACCACTCTTTCAGAGACTAAATCTTTCCTAATATCCAACCTGAGAAGGGCTTGTCAACCTGCCCATCCCCACTGCAGTTACCAGCTCTCATGGCCACAGGCAAAACCTCTCATGCCGGTGGTCCTTGAGGCACTCCAGTCCCATCATTTCAGTTCACCAGACTGAAGAGCTCGGAGCACTTGGGCCTTATGCTGTGCCCAAAGCAAGCACCATGACATGGACACCACCAAGTGCTTTTCTCCAGCTCAGGAATCTTCAGACCGTTTTCCTCCCCAGGAAAATATAAAAGCAGGGGAGTAACTCCTGCACTTCTTCTTGGCCTGCTGTCCCAAGATCTACAAATAGGCTGCTGTGCTGCTGCAAGCTGCAGCATGTGAACCGTGATCTGATATCAGCTCACCGTACCTGATAACAGAGGTGCCTCTGCAGATGTTTTCAGCGCCCCAGGCTGTCCCCCAGAAGCTTCTCAGCTGCTTCACACCCTCTGCAAATCAGCAGGTGCAATCGTCTTGAGGACAACCACAGATCCACGTCCTGAAGCTCAGCACCAGCGGCTGCAAAGGAAGAAACACCGTCAGCAGCCTGCCTTGAAGTTGTTCATTGGACTTCTGTATTAATTCTCCACCGCATTATTTACAGCCATACTAAAAAATTAAGTGCTTCATGGAGCTTCTCTGTGGGTTTTGGCCACATGGAACAAATGCGATTTCCTGAAGCTTGCAACACATTGGCAGCATATCAGCAATTTCAATGCATCTCTCTAAATAAGGACTTAATTCGCTTTTATTATAGGCCCCATTATACTGCTCCCAGTGGCTAAAGGGGCCTTGAGTTTTGGCAGAAATGTCATTTACACCCACCTTATGTCCTTCTTACAGAATTCTGATCTATAAAAGAAAGAGGCAGTGTACTGTGCAGCTTCAGCTTGCAGTCTGGAAGCCAGAAGTTTTCCACTGCCCCTGGCTTTGGCCAACTGGGAAGCCATTTCAAACCAAGAGCCCAGC